TAGGGATTATATTAGGGTCCTCTATTACAGGGTGGGGGGTCCTCCTAAATACTAACTCTATTTATAACCCAGTTATAAGACCCAAAAGTCGCCTAATATGGTTGCGGTTAGGTCTCAGAAGGTATGATTGGGTTATGATTACCCTGAAGCTGAACCTTCAAGTAGCTACCAACTGAATTTGATGGCTGCCTGAGTTGGTACCCCTGAGACCCCTGTTTGAAGGATTCAGGAGGACAGGAGCTCATGACAAGCAACAATGGGATGTTACCAAGACTATAGTCTATGTTCCTAAATAGGTCTACTGCAAAATTGACAAGAAAATGTGGCAAAAAGAATTCCCAGCAAGCTTAAACAAAGACTCAGCGGCACTGCAAATGCTAGTATCCCCACCGGATCCCAACAGGTATCCCTACAAAACTCGCTTTCCCAAAAACCTGTATCCTTGAACCCTTACACCCCCAAAACCCCAAAGCCACAAGCCTACACACCCAAAGTGCTGCAGAGGCACCGAGAGGAGCACAATGCCTGCACTGGGGAGGCCATTGACCCGCACCTCCAAGTCACCTGAGCAGCGTTTTTTTTGGTGGCTAAACCCAGTAAGAGGGAAATATTAGGGTTATACAGGGATAATGGAAAAGAAAATGGAAACTACTATTTAGGGTTTAAGGTTTAGGGTTATAGAACCTAGTAAGATTATATTCCTTATATAAAATACTATACCCCAAAAGGAGGATATAATCTTACTCTACACTGGGTACCATAGTATCCCCAAATAAAATACTAGTCACCTGTTTGTAGTACTACAGCGGCCTGGGTTTGGGGGTTTTGGGGTTTGGGGGTTTGGGGGTTCTGGGGATACTATGGTACCCCAATAATGGAGAATCAAATGGAAAAGAAAATGGAAAATGAAATGGAAACTGGGGTTATATAGGTGTTATATTGGGGATATATTTGTTTGTGTTGTGGGGTTTGGCGTTCAGGGGCTTGGAACATGGAGGGTGTAGGGCTTGCAGCATGTTGAGGTTAGTACTGTACGATGAAGCAAGTTAATCATGCTTGCACGTGGGACGTGGCTACATTCCGCACCATGCTTCACGTGTTAAGCAATGAGGCCAAGCGCCTGGATTTAGAGTTTAGGATTTAGTGGTTTAGGGGCTCAGGTGGCTTATTCTTTCTGCGTGCACCCGTAATTTTCTCATCTGCTGCGCTGCTTGCATGATCATGTCTGCTGTTTCTGGTGCAGCACATCGTCTGAGTCATGGGCAACTGGATTTCGAGTTCTCTTTGAAAGCTGCTATTATGGAGTGATCAAATTTGCAACTCTCTCTCTCTCTCTCTGAAGACGGACATACACCAGCACGTAACGCAGGGGCCTGAATACTTGGACTCAGGGTGTCGCGATTCCAGCCGCATCTACTCATAACAACCAGGAGTGTCACGGCGACCTGGCTACCTCCTCAAAACTTACAATTGCTACTATTACTATTAATACAAATATTCCTACTCATAATACTATTCTTACTACTCTTACATTTATTACTATCATGGCTATTATTATTTCTATTGTTACTCTGTCTACTATTGCAACTATCATCACTACTATTACCATTTGCATACAAGCTCTTCCCAGAAACTTCCCAAAAGTGCTACCTAAACCCTAAACCCCAAACCCTATACCCTAAAACCTATACCCTAAACCCTAAACCTTAAAAACCTCTAAACCCTAAACCCTAACCCCTAAACCCTAAATCCTATACCCTAAACCCTGATAGAACTGTTCAGTGCACGTCCCGTCTCCGCAAGGGCTGTCAGCAACTCGCGAAATTCCCGTGTCATCCAGCAGCAGGAACAGGCTCGCCGTCAGGGGAGGCAAGGCATGAGCTATATGATTTGGGTTTAGGGTTTAGGGTTTAGGGTTTAGTTTCCTTGGCTATATGGTCATATAGGGAGTATATAGGGGCACTGGAAAAGAAAATGGAAGCTACTATCTATGGTTTAGGGGTTATATGGTAGTTTCCTTAGATAAGGGGACGGCAATATATACCCCAAAATACTAAAATCCTTATTACGGGAACCTCAAAATGTACCACTAATTTTGGGAACCCCCCATACGTAGAAGTACTTGTAGGAAGCTTTCAGAATAGGGCCTTATCTGTGGGAACACATGAAAAATCTGCTGTACAAACCTGAGCTATATGATTGGGGTTTAGGGTTTAGTTTCTTTAGCTATATGGTTATATAGGGATTATATAGGGGTACTGGGAAAGAAAATGGAAGCTACAATGACTATGGCTCATGTGGTGTCCAACATGCAGGCAGTCTGTGCAAAGAAGTACGGTCGAACTCAAATCTGAGAAGGGCCAACCCCCTTTATGCTATTACAGCCTGACATGGCTCTGATGAAGCATCAGCAGTAAGCTTCTGTTTAGACCTGCGCATGCAGGTCTTTTGCAGGAAAAGCTGCAGCTAAGCAGGCGGATCTCAAGCAGATAAGCAAGTAGATGAGCCTCTGCGTGTTTTCCATGATGCATATCACTGTAGCGTCGGCGTGAGCTTCGAAGCAGAGGCCAACGGCTCAAAACTCATGGAAAAACTCCGACGGCTGGACGCTTAGTGCTGGTCACAAGCCAGTGGGTCCTTCAATCTAGGGCTGATGCCTCTCTCACTTCTTCTTGCCGCCCTTGTCGTCCTCGCCCTTGCGCTCGCAGCTCACCACCTTGCCCAGCATGACCACACCGTTGCCATCCATGAATGCCACACGGGACAGGCCCTCGCAGTTCTTGAAGGTGTCACAGACGAGTGGCCTGGGTATGTTAGGGTCCCTTATGAACCAGTAGTGCTGTACCCGAGCTACTGGTAAAAGCTGTCATAATCATTCCCCAACGTGATCAGCATCACACTGGCTATCATGGGCTTTAGTTTACAAGAGGGATCCTGAAGGAGGTCCCATCTTATGCCCATAACATATTCCAAGCTACATAACCAATGATATGGGGACCAGGAAGATGAACCTCAAAATCAAGACCCTAAGCCCCAAACCCTAAACCCTTAGAAACCCCCAAGCCCACAATTCCTGGAAATCCCTACAAAGCCTAGGTTCCATTTCGCATCCCTATGTTCTTCCCATTTGAGCCGTGGTCTTGAAGCCCAAATTTCCTAGCTCCTCAACCCTAAACCCTAAACCCTGAAACCCTAAACCCTAAACCCTGAAACCCTAAACCCTGAATCCTAAGCCTTAACAGTCTAAACACTAAACCCTAAATCCTAAACCCTAAATCCTAAATCCTAAACCCTAAACCCCCTCATCCCTTCAGTCACCACTTAGGCAAACGGCTGCTGGGGCTGGAAGCTGCACTGTGCCATCTCATTGGACTTCAAGGAGTGAGGATCCTCATAGGAGTTTTAGGGCTTAGGGATTTAGGGTTTAGGATTTAGGGATCCTTCATCCACATGGCTTACAGGTTTGAGGGTTAGGGGCTAAAGGGGTTCAGGGTTCGGAGTGTTGGGCTCAAAGTTCAGGGCATGGGAGGGTATAGCGCTCAGAGTTTAGGGTTTAGGGTTTGAGGTTTAGGGTTCAAGTCTTACAGAGTTCGCGTTTAGGGATTGTTGAAATTTCAGGGGTCGCAGTCCTCCATCTTCTTGCCGCCGGTCTCCTTGCCCATCCTGGGTCATTGTTGAGTAAGGCAAGGGTTTAGGGTTGGGGGTTTAGGATAGGGGCGCCCAAATAGGACAGACACCCTAAAAAGACTCTCCTTGCAGGGAAAATAAGCTAAGATAGATGTTGGGGCCCCGCAAAAACTGAATCTCTATGGATTTATGCGGAGTATGTAGGGATGATGGCCCCATAATAAGTGAAGTGCAGACCCAGGCATATCCCTTCATCAGGGAACTTAGGGATTCTTTGAGGGTCTCCCTCTTCGGACCCCCTACACCCGAAACCCTAAACCCTAAACGCTCTTCGGAAGGTCGTAGCAACCTACCCTCTTGAGCTGCTCGCAGAGAAGGTCTCATGCGCACGCATACACACAGTGGCATGTGAGCTATAGCTTCAATATGGGCATAATGAAAATGAAAATGAAACAACCACATTATAATGGGGTATATAGTTGGGCGAACAATAGGAGCTATAGTCTAAGCTCCTACTATCCTCGTTGGTAACCCCTATTAACCCCTATAACACTCTCCCATATGATCCCTCATATAACCCCCTTGAAGGAGTTTAGATTATGGCTCATGCGGGTGCGACGATGGGTGCGACGACTCTGCATGCAAGCTACACGGGCAGGGATTTCCCAGACATGTCAACTTGCATTCAGTGATGCCTTAGCGATGGCTTAGCCAAGCATCTTCCACTTCAAGGCGGACACACGGCAGGCGGCGCGGCCGCAGCGCACAAAACCGATGGGCGAGTAGCCGACCTCTGAGCGTCTTGTTCGTGGTGCCAGAACGATTGGACGTGATCTACCACTAGCCTTCTTGGCGCATAGCAGTGATCAACAGAATAACAAGAAACAGGGCGTACATGGCCAAGATAACAATAATAACAACCATGAGCACGAGCTCTATACTTCTTGGTAGTCAATAGGCAAAAAAGCCTACGGTAGTCCTTATACTTATATGTAGTCCCCGATAATATGATAGTTCCAGTCTTCTCGTCTACTCCTTCCCTGCCAACCACTCGTAGGTAAGTATGGACAAAACAACTACATGCAGTCCACATGGAAGATCCTCAGAAAGATGGCCACTTGTCTTCGTTTAGTGTACTACGGACCGCAATATTGGGTGATTCCCAAGATAAGGGGGCCCCAATATAGACCCCAATCTACCATAGTGCTTATTATGGAGACCCAAAAAGGCCCCCCTAACTTTTTGAAACCCCCATATCCCGAAACCCTAAACCCCGAAGCCTAAAACATTTAGGCTACCCATAAAACAAGGACCACGACTTTTGACCCGACGCAGTACAAGTCACTCGGGGGAGACTATCCAGGATTAGACCCTTCTTCTGGGCTGCTCTTAAGGGACTTAACTTGGGTTTAGGGTTTAGGGTTTAGGGTTTAGGGGCTTGGCTTCAGTTACCATGTTATTGGTATATAGTAACTACTGGGACTTGACTTCAGTTACCATATTTCATTGGTATATAGTATGTAATGGGACTTAACTTAAGTTACCATAATATGGGTATATAGGGTTAAGGGTTATAGTTGCCATAGTATGGGCATGTAGCGTTGAGGGCCTAAGTTACCATATTATGCGTATATAATGATTTCTGGGGTTTCTTCCTTACAGAAAAACCCTAGGCCCTAAACCCTAAACCCCTTCAGGAACCCAGGATGCACACCGTATCGGACCCCCCCCGTATAATCTTCTGGCCCTTATCATTCCCATATGGGTGGTTGTCAAAATTATGGTCCCTTTTTGGGTACTCTAAATATTAGGTGCCGTATTATAATGGGGATCCAAAAAGGTACCATAATTTTGACAACCACCCATATATATTCATGGGATCCAAGGAGTATCCCGTTTAACTTTCCTGAAAAGCTCCGGTACGGCTGATACCCAAAATTCTGCGTACTGCCATTTCTGTATATGAGAATACCATTATTCCTGCAGGATGATCAATATCAATCTTTTGGGCTACAGCCTAAACTCCGAGTATCCCCCTTCATCACACCAAAAGCAGTCCCCCATATAACCCCTGTAACGAGTTTAGACTACATCTTATTTTAGCGCAGCGGGGGGAAGGCGACTCTGCTGGCCTTGATCTCATTGGGGATGTCCAGAACCTGAGCATTCATCAAACGTCTGTGGGATTATATAGGGATTGTATGGGTACACACAGGGGTTACATAGGGATTATGTAGGGCTTATATAGGGACCGGATTATATAGGGTTTACATAGGGGTTATATAGAGGTTACATAAGGATTGTTTCAGGGTTATACAATGGTTGAATAAGAGTTATATAAGGGTTATATAGGATGTATTAGGGGGCATGTAGGGATTATATAGGGATGATATAGGGGTTACATAGGCATTGTGTAGGGTTTGTGTAAACCTCAAAATTCTCGGACCCATACCAAGAGACCCCAACAAAGGGACTCAGAATGATCCAACCCTAAACCACAAAACCCTAAACCAAACCCTAGACCCTAAACCCTAAACCCGAAACCCCAAACCAAACCCTGAACCCTAAACCCCAAACCCTAAACCCTAAACCCCTTTTAGGATGTCCCACCTGGATCTGGGCGTCAAACTCCTTGGTCTGGCCGAGGGTGGTGTCCTTCTTGTAGACCATCACATCTCCTGGCTTGGACGAATATGTTATCTTAGAGTTTAGGGCTTGGACTTAAGGGTTTCAGGTTTGGGTTGAGGGGTTCATGGCTTAGGGGTGAGGTGTCAACCTCAAGATGCACTGTACCATTTTCAGTGCCTTCGGGATGTAAACAACTACATCCTGTTAAAGCTGCCTCCGGAGAAGCAAGGTACAAAAGAGTCTGGATAAGTACCAACATTTGTCAACCAGAGTCCTCGTATAGTTGCAGCATAATACACCCCCAAACTCTATTCCAGTTATTTCCCTCATCTAGCTGTAGTATGTATGATCTACCCCAAAAAAAATCATTTCGGGCCAGTCTCCGGAACGCGGCATGTTGTTCTTGTCCAGGCCCTTGATGTTGAGGCCGACGTTGTCGCCCGGGTTCGCAAAGTCCACACGCTGGTGGTGCATCTCCACGGTGAAGACCTGTGAGTTTCACTATAGACTCTCTGATAAATTTACGGTTTAGGAGTTGGTAGTTTCCCAAATAAGGGTGCCCCAAGTAGACCCCCATATAC